AATTAACTTTAAAATTTATTTGGTAAATTCATTATATAGGTTACAAATTAAGCTTTCTTGTCTTCTTTTGTTCAACATATCATGGTAGGCATCAATCAAAAACCAAGTAGATCATAAAAGAAATCGTTGAAATATTTGGCTTGATATTACTCTTTTTTAAGTAATAATTGGCTTGAGACTTTACTAAGTTGATATTCATACTTCGTAGTTTTTTGGCTGTTGGGGAAAACAAAGGTTATAAGTTCGAGCCATTCCTTCATCTAAATAAGCATGAATGTGGTCTTAAAACATTTGGCAGATAATTATCCGTAAAAGCATCACTACTGCTGCTTATCACAGAGTCAAATGCCTTTCAATGGATATGGCATAACTATACATTAATGTGGGTTGGGAACAACCTTGGATGTAAATGGAAGAATGATAGCAATTATTTTTCTCTCAGAGATACTTGTACTGTTTGTTTTTTCAGGTTTTGGCTGTGAAAAAACTTGACTCTACCCATTTCCATGGCAGCTCTCCAGAGGAATTCTCTCAGATTGTATCAAAAATTTCCCAAGTTCACCACCCAAATATTGCTGAGCTTGTTGGTTATTCTTCAGAACAAGGAGACAACATGTTAGTGTATGAATATTTCCGAAATGGCTCTCTGCATGAATTTTTACATGTGTCAGACGACTTCAGCAAGCCACTAACATGGAATACTAGAGTTAACATCGCACTAGGCACAGCTCGAGCAGTTGAGTAAGTGGACATTCTTTTGCACAGCTGCTAGATTCTCTATCTCTCTTTACCTCTCTCCGTGTGTTTTTGTTGTTGTCTTTTTGCTTTTTTTTTTTTTAATTACAGTATGAGCAAAACTTTCCTGCATATAGACATGGTTTAGCAGTTTGAATTGGTGTACTTGTAAGTTTGTGCAGTGTTTTGCACGTTCTTGTGAAATAAGAATACTTCATAACTTGTTTCTGTGGGTCTTCTTTATTTAACTTTGGACTATACATCTATCAACATATTAAAACACGAAAGGTTCTCGTTTCCAAGTTTATATTGCATGGAGATTTCTTCTACGTTAAAAATTGACTGCGTAGTCCATATTAGAGTATCAACTTGTTACTGATCTTATTTCAACAAATAAAATTTCTGTAAACATTGAGTGAATGTTAGTATGACTGGCACTGCTAATTTATGGGATACAATTTAAATACTCAGGTACCTGCATGAAGTTTGTTCTCCATCTTTAGTTCACAAGAACATCAAGTCTGCCAATATTCTGCTTGACAATGAACTCAACCCTCATCTCTCAGACTATGGTTTGGCATCCTTCCATCAGGTTTTCCCTTTTCTTAGCCCTCAAGTATTATGAAGTTGTTTACCCTGTGAAATCCATAGTTGAAGGTCCCCCCCCCCCCCCCCCCAAAAAAAAAAAATTTACGTGCTCCTGAAATAGGAAGATTAAAATTGCCCAGTTTTCCCCTGCTTTTGCTGATGCCTTAACATGTTTTTCGTTATTTGTTCAGTCTACCAAAGATTGTGCTCAGTTTGGTCTTAGTAACTTTCTTAGAAAATCCTATCTATTGAAGTATGTTTTAAAGTGGTAGGGCGTACTCTGGCTTCTTGATAAATCAGTTACTTGGTCCTTTTACTAAGCCATTTGGTTGGAACTGCTTCTGATTAATGTCCTATAATGAATGCTTGGAAACCCATTGGTGTTGGTCAAAATGACGTTTTGATCAAAGTAATATGAATGTCTCAAAAATTGCGAAGACCCATTTCCAACAAGTTTTCAAATCTATGCTGAGGAATGAGACTAGCTAGCTCATATTTATGATAATAGGGCTGATAGAGAGATTGTGAAAGTTGGTTAGGCATAAAACATGACTCACGTAATAACTAACTATTAACTACTACAGCTCATGTACCATTCAATCCCCCCTCCCCAGCTGGGAAAAAAACAGAGAAAAAAAGAAAAAGCAGAGATGATTAATCCTTTTCCTTGAAGTGCTTGTGGCAGTGGGGAGAATTGCTCTTGAATGGCATGGACTGATTCCCAAGTGGCATCTTCCTTCCTAAAGTGTCTCTATTCGACAAGAGCCTGAGTTGAGGGTAGTGTTCCCCCCTAAGCTAACTTTGTTGTTAATTTAACTTTAGGTTCCATGGAAATCTACCTTGACTGTCCACTCTAGGTAGCTCTGAGCTAACGGAATGTCATCTTCCTTATGCTTCTTGAGCTATGAGACATGGAAAACTGGATAGACACAAGTTCTCCAGTAATTCCAGCTTGTAGGCTACCTTCCTTATCCTTTGAGTCATTTCATGGGGTCAATTTTATTCTGTGACTAGTTTGCCAAGTGAAAAATTGTTGAGGGTGTTTCTCCTGAAGGGGTTGAAGTTCATAAACTAGATTCCCCTGCCATGAGTTCTCTCTATGTTCTTCTTCTATTAGCATTTTGGGCCATGTGGTTTTGTGCTTTTAGTAGATGATGCTTAAGCTAGTCAATTGTTGCCTCTCTTGTAAACTCCTGTCCGCTAGGTCATTGATTGAATCTCCTGCTAATAGGGTAAATGCGCTGGTGGTTCATTTCCATGTACCACTGCCGTTGGAATCATACGAATTACAGAATTTAGCCAGCAGAATCAACTTGAGCCATTGACTTGGATTTTCTCCCGTCATACACTTTTGGTTGCATTTCATTCATCTACTGAGCGCCTTTTAATTTGATCAGCTGTTTGGAGATTATAAGCTGAGTAGAGTGACTTTTTCTCATGTAACTTGATGAGCTCCTTCCAAGACTTGATGAGAAGATATTATCTCTTTCTGTCAGTGTGGTTTGGGGAAATTCGTGGAGCTAAATCACATTGTTCATGAAGATTTGTGCCACGTCCACAGCTATCAAGTGGTGTTGTAAGGCCTTGAGATGGGCTGCTTTGCTCAAAAGGTCTACTACCACACGGATGACTCTTGTCTGCTTTGGGTATCCTTCCAGTGAAATCCATGGCTGATCGGTCCATAACTAATTGACCAAGTTGTAACTAAATCATGGGCTGTGAGGTGTGAGAGGGTGTATGTGAGAGAGAGACTAACCTCTTGAATAGCTGTGCGCATGTTTGCTTTCATCTTGTGTACTGCTTGTAGCTGAATCTATTAGACTTGCACTCTAGATTACTTTCCACGTTTAAATACTGAATTTGGAATTGAGTTCCATCAATAGAACTCAGTCCAGATGGTCATTGGAATTGGGAGTGGTTATAGCAGTCCTACTGTTGCAATATTCTCTTGATAAATCTTTGGTAATCCCTTGTAAAGTTCATTACATCCTTCTCTTACCCTTTTCAGTAAAATAGTGATGATATCCTTTGGTAATGCTGGTCATACTTGATGCTCTCTATTTGGGCTGCTGTGGAAATACTGAAGCAGCTGTATTTTATGTCATGATGGGTCAACCTCTTTGCCACTACCTTCTTGATAGTTGACTGGCCGGAAGGGGAAAAAAAAAAAAAAAAAAAAAGCTCCCCCTTCTTGATAAGGCTCCTACCACCTTTTCTCTTTCTCCCTTCCGTACATGGTTTCTTTGTCCAAATCCATTTTCACTATTCTGGAAATATCACCTGCTTTAGTAGGTACTTCAAGCCTAGTTATCTGTTTTGGCAATAAGATGCTTCCCATTTTCATGATGCTTTCACCATTTTGCCAAAAAGAAAAGATTTAAATATTTTTGGTTGACCCATCATAACAAAAAATACAGCTGCTTCAGTATTTCCACAGCAGCCCCAATAGAGAGCATCAAGTATGACCAGCATTACCAAAGGATATCATCACTATTTTACTGAAAAGGGTAAGAGAAGGATGTAATGAACTTTACAAGGGATCGCCAAAGATTTATCAAGAGAATATTGCAACAGTAGGACTGCTATAACCACTCCCAGTTCCAATGACCATCTGGACTGAGTTCTAGGGTTTACTTGCAAAAGCAATTGGGTATCCACTTCATTACTTGATTTGGGCAGGCGACGCTGGGCTGGTGTGCCTCACTCTTTTGGAACGCCTGTTTATCTTGTGACAGTCTTTTTTCATATCTAAAAAGCATTTTTTTTCGTCTTGTTGAAAACTTTCCTATACATTGTAAATCTTTGTCTCTTCCCAGCGCACTAGCCAAAATCTTGGGGCTGGATATGATGCACCTGAGTGTTCAATACCTGATGCTTATACCCTGAAGAGTGATGTGTATAGTTTTGGGGTGGTCATGTTGGAGCTGTTAACAGGTCGAAAGCCTTTGGACAGGTACTTACACATTATTCCTTTTTTGGGTCCGTAGTACTCCATGGAATACCTCCATGTCATGTGTGAAAATGCTTTGTTGCTTGCTTCTTTGTGAATCTTCAGGTCAAAGCCAAAATCAGAACAATGTCTTGTTCGTTGGGCCACCCCTCAGCTACATGACATTGATACATTGGCGAAAATGGTGGATCCTTCCTTGCGAGGACTTTACCCTCCTAAATCACTCTCGAGGCTTGCTGACATAATTGCTCTTTGTGTTCAGGTGAGTCATACTTTAAACCAGGACCTGCATCCAATCCTTTTTATCGTTAATGGAAACATATTGTTAGGACATGATTATGATTGCATTAAGGTCTAAGAATGCTAACACATACATATAATTGCCTCTTGTTTCTGGTAGCCTGAGCTGGAATTTCGACCACTAATGTCAGAAGTGGTTCAGTCATTAGTAAGACTAGTTCAGCATTCAAGTATGAATATGAGAGAAGATATGGATGCTTGTGATGGATGATAATGGTGACTGATCTTTTATGTGAACATTAGATGTATAGTTCAGTTCAGAGAAGAACTAAAACACCCTCTTACTAGTGGCAGGTGAGTTTCAACCTTCCACTTCCTAAGCTTAGATTGCTAATTTCAAATTACATAGAATGTACAATGTAATTCATGCATCTTCCATGTTCAGAGTTTAATTCAAAAGAAAGAAAAAAAATTGTTGAGTTGTTTCCTCATAATCTTGTGATACTTCATCTTTATTAATTTATGAGTTATATTCTAATTTCATACTACTTTATTTTTCTCTATCCAACTTGGATTCCATCCAGAAAAGTAAAAACGCTTTCCAAGTACAACTGAGGAGGTGCATAAGATTCAAACGCTCCCTCATGATCGATCAATGGTGTGCTATTATTTCCATCTTTTATTGCTTTTTCCCCTCCTAAACTGTAGAGCTGGTAAAACGGGCCAACCCGCGAGTTGCGGGTTGGCCCGTCATGGGTTGTGGGTTATTTGGGTCGGGCTCAAAAGGCCCGTTTTTTGGCGGGTTGGTATTTTGCCAACCCTAATCCACTAAGGTGCGTTGGCGGGTCAACCCACCAACCCGCTAGATTTTTTTTTTTAATTTTTTTTCTTATAAATAATAAAAAATTAAAAAAAATCAGAAATAATTTAAAGTATTCCAAGCATTCACACAAAATTACAACATATTAAAACACAAAATATACAATTATCCAAAGTTTAAACTCCAAACATGATAAAATACAAGTTCAAACATAAATTTTTCCTACCTTTTCAGCCTACCTCCTAATATTTTAATATATATAAAAATTAAAAAAAAAATTAGGTGTGAACCCGCCAAGCCGCGGGCTGACCCATGGCGGGCTCGGGTTGTGACTGTGCGGGCTCATATTTTTCAGGTGGTGGTGGGTTGACCAAAGGCCAACCCTAACCCGCCTCTTTTGGCGGGTTGGCGGGTTCAACCTGCGGGTCTAACCTATATTACCGGCTCTACTAAACTGTCCACTTACGTGAACTTTAGGCTTTACCAACCAGTTTAAATTGTCAAACAATTAGAAAGATGGATTTTGGAGTCGAAAATCTCAATCTTGATGGGCTTATACACGGAATATATTATGATTAAGCACTTGTTGCAATGCTCCAGTGCTTACTCTTTCAATAAATTTTTTTAAAAAAAAAGACAATGTTTCCCAAGTACAGGGAAGACCCCTTAAATGAACATAACAAATAATGTTGCAAAAAAACAAAAAACAAAAGTGGCAAAAAACACGGAATAAATAAGGACATATTTAGTGTTTTTCTTTTCTTTTTTTGTTTACAAATAAAGTTAAGTGAGTTGGATCTTGGGGATTTACTAGGTCAAAATATGCTTCTAGACTCAAAAAATACTTATAGAGATATTTACAGATCACACCAGATCCTCATATTAGCAGATGAATTCAAACTTACCATATTTACTAATTAAGGAAATTATTCATATTTAATAATGTTTGACTTCAATGTCCTTACATGAAACGTTGTCAATGAAATAATTTATAAGCACATTTATCAATATTTTTTTTATCCACAAGACTTTTTCAATTTTAATGAGCTATTAAAGCTCAGTTCACCTAAACTAGTCGTGTTGGTTTGAACGAGAGCTGTACAAATTGAAATTTTCAAGACTCAGCGAACAGTTCCAGACAATATTGTTAATCTTCTGAAAAGAAATAATCAATATTAATAAATATGAATTTGAACCCACTCATTAGTAAAAATGAATCACATCCTTAAACTATTTTTGTTGACAAAGAGAGCCATTTGGTAACATTGAGGTGAGACCCATCTCAAATAAATCCATGTGTTCCTTAACCACTGTTTGATTTTGTGATATATATTGGGCAAATTGTAATTAGGCTTATGCCTCATCTTTCAGATAAATTTCTCCTACAATTCAAGTGAAGAAAAGCAAAGCCACAAACAATAGTTTTAATTCTTCTTTAATGGTAGTTCCCACTTTCGCAAGGAATGCTTTGACGACTCATTTTAAAGATGTCATATCCTCACCATTTTCATCATCTTTTTCATATTAGCCTAGTAAAGAATGGTTTTGAAAAATTATAAGTCTTTGAAAATTAATTACTTTTAATTATTTTATTAAATATTTTAAAGGTAGTTAATACTTAATTATATGTCTATATAATAATACCCAAAATAATATTGATTCATGAGTTATTAAAAGTGAGAAAAAAATATAGTAAAAATGGATTTGTTGTGGGGGCAGCAAAAGATGCATTGATATTGCGAGGTAGTAGGAAGGCTCAGTTGACCAAACAAGGCCATCTTTTACTTCCTTACAGTAAAATGGTGATTTGTGGCTGCTAAAGGTATTTTTTAAAACAAAATTATTTAAAAACAAATATAATATTAAATTATATTAAATTTTTTTATAAAATTAATATTTAAATGATTAAAATATGTATTTTAAAAACCCATTTTTCTTAACAAAAATAAACCAAATTAACATACAAGAGTATAATTTAGCAATGAATATTTAATGTTTTTCATTTTAGGCCTTCAAATTTTTGTAGCTGGTATTCAAGATCCAGTACGTGAAATTTTAATAAATTAAAAAAACAAATTGTATTAAGAAGTAATCTCTTCGAACTCGGGATGCATCTATTTAGGTCAAGGTTCCAGGATATGTGGTCATAGTTTAAGTAAGTCACTTATGAATAAAATAATAACAATATTTTCATTAAAATTTTTATATCCATTATGTCAAGTTTTTTAATCACACCTAATCATATGTCCTATTTTTAAAATATTTTTATTTAATAGCATTCAATTATAAATTCATATGAAACCCAAAAAAAAGTATGTCCATGTATAATTAAAAAATTTGACACAATAAATGTAAGAAACTTTACTTAAGATACTTGGTAAGGTGACATGCATGACTTGACGTGCACACTTGGCCATGATGGCCTTAAGTTACCCATTATGCATTCTGCTTTCTGGTGGTGAAAATTTACTGATAAAAATATTTAAGTTCGAATTTTTGCAGTTTATTGAAAGGTTTTATTAATTTGAACTTTTTTTTTTTGGTTGGAGTATGGTATTTCTTCCAATGCACGTTCCTCCCGTTTTCTAGTACAAGGAATGGATGCGGCTAGACACATACGCTAATAAATGACTTTAGGTCTGAAAAAGAAGCTTGTCTTCCCCCATTTTGCCACCTATACCTGGGTGGAGTATAAAGTAATACTCCTATCCTTTTTAATTGTTGCTCGAAGGAAAAAAATTTCATTTTTTTATTTGTTACTTGTACTCTTTTTAATGTTTCATTTTCAATTCTACCCTTATTAATTAAGAAAGGCAAATGTAAAGGTGAAGAGAGAGGGAATGAATGAGAAAAAAAAAATAATTAGGTATTTAATAAGGGTAAAAGTGAAAGGTTTTATGTATTTAATGATCTCCTTAATATGTGAGAAACTACTACAAGTGACAATTAAAAAGGACTAAAGCGATAGTTCGACAATAAAGGAATAGTATGGATATTTTTTTAATGAACATTATTTTCTGATTTTATTTATAAGTCACTTTCAACATGTTTCATACAGATTAAAAAAAACTTAAACTTTTATTAATTATGTCTTAAGATCTCATAACTTTTCAATTTTATTCATATGTAATACTCTTATTGTCTTATTTTTAAGTTACTTTCAATGTATTTTATACTTATCAACAAAAACATTAAACTATAATAGATCTGTATTAAAATTCAATAACTTTTCTACTTTGTTCTTATTTAATATACATTATACGTCATAAATACAAAGTCAACTTAATAATAAATAAAAGATAAAATTATGTATCTATATAAAAAATTTCTCTTTTTGCCTTATAAACAGGATAAAAAAATTCCTTCTCTCCATGCCTTATAAATAAAACCAAAAGCATATAACATTATAGTACTCTTTAAGAATAAAGCCGATGTAATAATAAATAAACAGTGAAATTGTATATTTATATATATAAATTTTTTTCTCCTTTATAAATAAGGTTTAAAAAAACTTCTTTTCTCCCTGCACCATAAATAAGACTAAAGGAGTATTTAGTTGGAAATTATAATATTAACTATATTTAATAACAAAAGTCTCTCCCATTTTGTTGCATATTTAAGGTGACACTGGGAGACCCGCTCATAGCTGTGAGCACTCCGAAGGTCCCCATTCTCGAACCATTTAAACCACCACCACCTCTGGCCCAAGAAAAGAAGAGAAAAAAAGCCACAAGGAGCACTGGTATGCCTGAATCATACGGAGTCATAAATAGCCCTAGAAGTTACTCCCTCCCATCTTATTTATAAGTTTTAAATTGGAGGAAGGATGTGGTTCACAACATTTAATGTGTTTTTCTAATTTTATCATTAATTATTAATTTCTTCTTAAAGCTACTTTTAATTATTTCACTGAAATTGAAAAAGAGTGGCTAATTCATTAAGTCTCTCTTTTTCCAACTTAGGCATGCGTTCATAGTTGATTATTTGTAAAATTACAAATTTTAAAAAAGGATATAGCTAGGGTTTACTAAAATAAAGTTGATTTCCTTCCTAGCACTACTGCTACAACTCTTAGGCATGCGAACTTGAAGGGCTGAAATTTTATGGGAATGAAAAGTAGAATAAAATCTAGGTTAAAAAATATTTTTAGTCCTTTAATTTCATTCTAGATTTTAATTTAGTCTCTTAACTTTAAAAAATTTATTTTTAGTTTTTTAATCCTAAAACTATTAACATGCACAAAGAATAATGATATTAAGATCTTAAATGTTAATAAAACATTTTCAAATATTAACAGATTAAGTTTAATTTTTAAAAAAATCTTGATTATTATAAAAAATATCATTTAAGAATAATAATTTCATGGTTAAAAAATTAAAATTTTTTTTTTAAAGTTAATAAGAGATCAAACTGAAATCTTGTATAAAATTAAATGATAAAATGTTTATTTTTATCTAAAATCAATGTCCATAGTGACTTGGTGTTGACGCTATGAAACTTATTTAGAGTAACAATTGTCTGAATTATCTGCTGTTCAAAAGTGATTGAACTATTACTTTTTATAACTTGCTTATCAGGCTCATCATATTGAAATTATAAGATTTTTATAATTCTTGGACGCACAATTTATAAGTCAATATATTGTTAATATTTTCAAACCCTCCAAAAACTTACAACTAAGTTATTTCTTACACCTCAACTAGTATATCCTAGATTTATATGTGGCGGTGTTTTTCACATTAACCGAGTTGCAAATTAAAATAGTGTAATAAATTATAGCTCTTCCTGAAAAATTTATAAGTCCTCCTTCAAAAAGTTCACTAATTGAGTTCTACATTTCCAAAAGGTATGTGAATTTAAAATGTTCATTTGTAACGAATCGTTGGAATAAGTGCCTACTCATAATATCTCAAATAAGATTATTTATAATAAGATAATACTGGACTTGTTGACTCGTAAATTATGTGTGAAGATTTGTAAATAATAAATAATATTTAAATTATTAAATATTAAAATATTAATATTGTAACAACATATTATTAAAATAAAATATAATATTTTTTAAGCAATCTAGCAATGGTGATTCGTAATCACCAAATAGCCCGTAAATTCATTAAAACAATATTGGTCTTTTACATGGGTGTAAAGATAGTATTACTCTCTTGCTATTTATTTGTGAATTGCAATCTTGATACTTGGTCGATAATAACTCTTTTGGTATAAAAAATCAATTTTTTTTAATAAAATACTTTTTTGATCCTATCATTTCATTAAATTTTAAGTATGAAGTAATGTTTTATCCTTCATTTATTATTGTGTACATTGTTATTATTTTTAAAAAGTGTATATATATTAAATAACAATAAAATTAAAAAAAATTTAAATTTTAATACTAATATAATGAAGTTTAAGATTTTTTTATTTTAATAAAACATGTTAAAAGTAACTTATAAATAGAATTAAATGAGTATGGCCTCTAGTTCAAAATGTAAGCAGCTGACAAGATAATTTAATGATACTTTTTCACTTTTACTCTTTCTTATAAGGCAGAAAGAGAGTTCTAAATACATCAGAAAAATATGAGAATTTTATAACCACATTCTTTAATAAGAATAAAATAGGCAAATTTTGTCAATTTAAGACACATTTAATGATTTATCTAATATTTCTTAGTTTGTATGAATTGGTTAATAATATATTTTTATATGTACTTTGGATATGAGGAAGTTGAAGTGTGCATGGACCATATTGGATCGTGTTAGTTATCAACCTAAAGTCTGGTTTGGATAAGACCTCAGGTTGAAAAAGATAATATGTGGTCTAACCTGGTCTAGTTCTGACAATTTCAAAGAAAAAAGATAATTTAAAAGATAATCTGATAAATTTTTTTAACATCAGCAATGAAAAAAGATAATTTAAAAGAATTACGAATTTAAAGGACAATTTCAATTAAGTTCTTTTATTTAAGAATAAAATAAATTATTTCATTATCCTCCTCGAGAATAAGAAAATTCAACACCAGTATATCCGGCATGACAGGCATTAAACTATATTTGCCGGCGGCTCGTTTGGCTCGCGCTTTTTCTGTGATTTATTTATTTATTTATCTGTTGCGAGTAATATTTTCGTATTTGCGCCCCCTCGCTTCCCACGCCATGCTCGCTGCAGAAAGAGTGGATATGATTAAAATAAGGTTTAGTTATTTTTTTTCACTTCAGATTATTTCCCATTATTTATAATTTAGTTTTGCAGTATCACAATTATAATGATAATTGAAACTCTTACATAATCATCATAAGAAACTTAACATCAAATTTTGTTGATTGATATCAATCACATGTCTTCTTAGTAATAATTTGAAAAGAGATATCTTTATGTCATTTAATTTAGTTAGACATATACAATTATGCATGGGTTTCACCATATTATATATCCCTCGTGTCAACGTAGATAATAATTAATATTTAATAATTATGCATATAAAGAGACCCGTGCATGGCATTATTTATAAACTATATTTGATAAATATTAAATATCAGAGATATATATAGATTAAAATGTGTTGAGCATGATATTTTTTCATTTGATCATATACCGCCTGAAATTTAACTTACAACCCTTTAAATCAGATAGAAATAAATCATTCATCTTACTACATTTCAATTAAAAAAAAGAAAAAATTAAAAGAAAGTGAGTTATTTATTTGTATAAATTTTAAAATTTAATAGGGCTATTGTGAGATTTTAATCAATAGTTCAAGAAATCTCCCGTGGACATAAAAATTCCTCTACATTGTATGCCAATATGCCATATACAAATATAGTTAAATAAATCACGATTCGGTTTTATAAGGCCAAATTGTTTAAAATTTAAAAAAAATAGTAAACTATATATCTTTCTTTATTTTTAAGCTGAAAGCTAAACTATATATCTGATAGAGTCGTTATGAGAACCTTAAGCTAAACATGAGCCATGTGTTGTAAAATTTGTTTACAGCTCATTTTGATACACACACACACACACTCATCAAAATAAGCTGAAAATATACTTTTCTTCCTAATATTTAGTTTAAAGTTCCCTCAACATAAGGATCCCCTATTTAGTTTAATTGTATTGATGATATTTATGCTTAACATGAACTAATAAATTGTCTTTTTACTATGACAATGATATGAGCCTCCCTAATAATACAAATTCCCACCATTTATAATTTGACACTCGCATGCAACCATCATAACCATATTTTATTAATATATAAATCTACGCGTGTGTAGACACACACACACACACACACACACACACACACATATATATAAGAGCGACTGGCTAGTGGTTATAATAAAAACAAGTCTTTTTTATTGCAGATCAGAGAGGGGGAAGAGAGAGAGAGAGAGAGATCAAAATGTGGAGGCTGAAGATAGGAGATGGAGGGAAAGATCCGTATATATTCAGTACAAACAACTTTAGTGGAAGGCAAATATGGGAATTTCATGCTGATGAAGGAACTCCAGAAGAACGAGCTGAAGTTGAAGCTGCTCGTCAAAACTTCTACAATAATCGATTCAACCTCAAGCCCTGTGGAGACCTTCTATGGCGATTTCAGGTCTCTCTCTCTCTCTCTCTCTCTCTCTCTCTCTGTCCCTCTCTCCCTCTCTTCCATTTCTTCATCACTACTTTTTACCTCTCAAGCATCTATATGGTGAATACACACTCATTATGTAATACCTGCTATTCCCAGTATAAGAGTTAATTAGAGGATCAGATTTGGTCATAAATGTAATATCTCGATCTAATTTGTTACTCAAATTTATAATTTCTTTTTCTATAATATACCTATGATAATAAGAAATTCCATCTAGGAGTTGAGGAAAATAAATATATATTTGTTATAAGTAATTAACTTAACTAATTTTTTTAATCTTTTTAAATTAGTTATCTAGGTTTTATATATATTAAAGATCGGAGGTAGTATATATGTATGCCATTGATGGTTTTTTCAGACACAAGTTTTTACGCATTTTCTGTATGGCGTTTCTATTTTTTTCCCCTCACTCTTTCACTTCTTGGGCTCTCGTCTCTTCAACACTCAGCTCCTCTCTTTAATATAAAATGTCTTGTAAAAGGTTTTTATGATCCTAATTTTGTGAAAAGTCAATTATATTAAATTCTTCTTTTCCGCACGAATACTCTTATTAAAATACCACTTTGATTTTATTTTATTTATAAGTTATCTTTAGCATATTTCAATGAAACAAATGAAAAACTACGAAACCTATCAAAAAAATTCAATAAGTTTCCAACTTTTTACCACTATTAATTATTATACATTTTTTCATATGTACTTGTATATTTTGATTTGGATTATTTCCTCAATCAAAGCAGCCACTTTCATGCATTAATTATTTGCTATAATCGCTTAAACCCCAAGCCCTATACCATGTACGTACGTACCTAGCTTTCCATGGCATTTCAAGGTATCTTTCCTTCATTTGTTCCAAGAGTCGAAAAAGTACCGTTTTTCTCTTAAGCTAATAACTCTCTAGCTGCTCTCTCTTTCTTTTTTAATGTGTATTCTTCTACTTTGCTTATATATTTTGATTTTTATGTTCTCTCCAAATAAGTATCACAACATTTTAGATTACGTACGCTAACGAAACAGCCAATTCCATGAATTAATTATATATTTGGCAAACCAAGCTGATTCATTGACAAATATTTCCGTCTTGTACTACTACTTCTTCTGGTCTCCAATATAAAATTTAGTTGGGGGTTGAGTTTGTCTATTCCTATTGATTGCACATATTAAAAGGAGTTTATATTGAGGAGTATAGTTTTACTTTTTTTTTCCTGAGTCATGCTGGTTTGCTTCTTCCCTGAATTAGCTACATGCTTGCTCAGACCGGCCAAGAAGCCGGGTCATTAGTTTTTGAGTCAATGTTACTGGTGTGATCTGAGTTTTCAAAGATTTTTAAATATAATATTTCAATTTATTTTGTTTTCCGTAGTTATCATTTTTCTTAAACTATTCTTCTTGATCACACATGTTAGGGAAGTTTGTATAAGTAAAGTTTTAATGAAAATGATTTAAAAAGGTATTTTAGAGCAAACAAAACGTATTTTTTTATAAATAATTAATTTAACTGGTTTTTTTCATCCATTCAAATTAATTAAGTAGATCTTATATTAAATACATGAAATACTACTTTGTTACTCTCTCTCTCTCTCTCTATATATATATATATATTAACTAATGTTAAATATTAATGGTGATTGACTTTATGCAGTTCTTGAGGGAAAAGAATTTCAAACAAACAATACCAAGGGTGAAGATAGAGAAAGGAGAGGAAATAAGTGATGAAAAAGTTGGTAACACTGTGAGAAGGGCAACTCATTATCTAAGCGCATTGCAATCAAAAGATGGTCACTGGCCTGCTCAAATTGCTGGACCTCTCTATTTCATGCAACCTCTGGTATATATACCAATCATATATACGCATATGCATATTTACCGTGCTATAAGAAATACAACAAATAGATATTATTCATTAGTGGACTCCAAATGCTAAGGGATACCCACCTATCACAAATATACTTCCTCAAGTTTAATATGATAACAAATAATAATATTTTTTTTTGAAAAAAATATATTTTTTACACATACGTTGCATTTAACCGGTTTTAACTAATATTTTTAATTTACATAATCCAATTATTTGTATTTTATATACATAACCAAAGGGAGTATAGAAGTACAATGCTATAAAAATTTAAAAGGGCAAAAAAGCACGGGACTGGGGTCCACATATTAAGTGGGACCCACCAATAACAAATGTCTCTTTTTCTTTCTCCTTAGATAATCATGCTATTGTAATAAAGAATCAATATAATATCCACGCTAATCACAATTCTATAATACTCTGGATTCTAGAAATTTTAGAGTGCGCTCGCACATATGGGTGTGCTATATATGTATTGTAACAAGAATAAAGAATTATCAAATTTATGTCACAAATTCCAATTAATCCTACTTCATTTTCATATTAAATAACTATTAAACGAATTCAAATGGGTATAAATGGTACAGGTATTTTGCTTATATATTACTGGTCATCTTCATGCTGTGTTCCCAGAAGAATATCGTAAAGAAATCCTTCGATACCTATACTATCACCAGGTATATATGACATATATACATATTTAAGCACCAAAACCTGCTTTGTTGTATTGGTCATATGTTACAGTTTTAAGTTTTCATGTGTGTGTTAAAAGAATGAAGATGGAGGGTGGGGCCTACACATAGAGGGACAGAGTACCATGTTCTGTACTGTGTTGAGTTATATATGCATGCGAATGCTTGGAGAAGGACCCAATGGAGGCCAAGACAATGCTTGTTTTAGAGCCCGAAAATGGATTCTTGATCATGGTGGTGCCACCTACATACCCTCTTGGGGAAAGACTTGGCTATCAGTACGTTCTATTTTATTCATTCCCTACATATTAGATTTTATGCATGTATGTATATACGTACGTACGTGTATGTCTCATATATTGTTGTTGTAGATACTTGGATTGTTTAAGTGGTGTGGAATAAATCCAATGCCACCAGAGTTCTGGCTCCTTCCATCGTTCCTTCCTATGCATCCAGGTACGTAATTCAATGGTGACCATACATTTCTAATGTCAGTTTATTATTTGATGTTTTAATTTCATGTCATATCTATTTACTCCCTTAATTTTCTGTTGATATTTTCTCTTCATCATTTTAATTTTATTATAATTAATTTTGTTAATTATGTAATTTCATGCTATATATGTTTTTTTTTTTCGCCTTCGAACCATTCATTAGAGATTCCTGTGAGTCAATCCAAAGCAATTTAAGTTAGTTTGGCATAAGTGACAAGGTATCAAAAGCCAAGCGATTTTGGCACTTAAACATAAATAGAAAAAGAAGAAAGTGAAGTTTTATGTCGTTATTAAGCTCCTGAAACTTAAAAAAGAAGTACAAGCGCATAAGCATATTTAAACTAGATATATAGTGAGAACTTATATATATATATATATATATATATATATTGTGCGATTAAAAAACTAATCATTACTATATAAGTGGACGTGGCGAGTTCAACCAAGGTATGTTAAGTTATTTTAAAAAGTGTAAGTGACATTAGTCTTGGTGCGTTAATGTTAAAAAACTTCAATACTAATTCTATTCCATCATTATCCCTTTGTGAACATTATCTATTTTCATGTCGATATATATCTGATAATATCTTCCATGATATTATATTGTAATGCAGCGAAAATGTGGTGTTATTGCCGCTTGGTTTACATGCCTATGTCATATTTGTATGGGAAAAGATTTGTGGGTCCCATCACACCTCTTATTCTTCAGCTTAGACAAGAACTCTACCTTCAACCTTACCATCAAATTCAGTGGAATGAAGCTCGTCGCCTTTGTGCAAAGGTGAGTTTAATTTTGCTTTAGTCTCTGATATTCATTGCTATATATATATATTGACACAAATAAAAACAATTAGCTTGTTGATTTCTCCTAATTAAGGAACCATTATATATCCTAGATAATTTATGTCTTCATTACAGGAAGATCTTTACTATCCACATCCCTTGATACAAGATTTGATATGGGATAGTTTATATACATTCACTGAGCCACTTCTTACTCGTTGGCCCTTCAATAAGTTGGTAAGAGAGAAAGCTCTTCAAGTAACAATGAAGCATATTCACTATGAAGATGAAACTAGCCGATACATTACTATTGGCTGCGTTGAAAAGGTAATATTAATTAGAATGACTCAATTAATGCCAAGCAGACTTTGATATGATTATTGATTTCGGTATGAGCATGCTTCTAACTAATATCAATATTTAATTTCCCTTTTACATCATTTGGCACAGGTTTTGTGTATGCTAGCTTGTTGGGTTGAAGATCCGAATGGAGATGCCTTTAAGAAGCATCTTGCTAGGGTTCCTGATTACATATGGGTTTCTGAAGACGGAATCACCATGCAGGTAAACAAATTATTCCTTCACACACACACACACACACACACACACACTCATATATATATCTTCAAGTTTATTACTTTCGTAAGACTACTTTATTTAGTGAAAAGAAATATTTTTGGATTTAATCAATATATGCTATTAATTAATTGCAGAGTTTTGGAAGCCAACAATGGGATGCTGGTTTTGCTGTACAAGCTTTACTTGCCACAGACCAAATTGACAAAATTGCTTCTACTCTTGCAAAAGGACATGACTTCATCAAGAAATCTCAGGTCAACTTTTTAATAACTAGCTAGTTGAGGGATGTTATATATATTTGTGTGTATTAATGCATAAATCCTATTGTAGTACTAACTAATTAAAACTGACGATCATATTAGGTTAAGAACAATCCTTTGGGTGACTTTAAAAGTATGTACCGTCACATTTCTAAAGGGTCATGGACTTTCTCAGATCAGGACCATGGATGGCAAGTTTCAGATTGCACTGCAGAAGGCTTGAAAGTGAATAGTCTTTTTACTACTTAAACAAGTTAATTTCATTGTTCATATATCATATGCAGCTTATTAAATTATGTCGTCATTTAATATATATGTTTTGGTTTTCTTTTTCAGTGTTGTCTTCTTTTATCAATGTTACCACCAGAGATTGTGGGTGAAAAGATGGAACTTGAAAAGCTTTGTGATTCTGTCAATCTCTTGTTGTCACTTCAAGTAAGTAATCTTACATTGTAATTATAAATTCAAATTATAGAGAACTTGCCTGTCACTGAATTTCTTATGGATTTTCTTTCTAGAGATTATCTTTTTCATGGATTTTTTCTTTGAGAGAAAGCCATTTCTATGGGGTACTGTTTGTTTTGCGTTTTGATTTAGTAGCATATATAACACTCTAAAATTCACATATTTGCAGAGTGAAAATGGTGGTTTAGCTGCATGGGAGCCAGTCAAAGCTCATGATTGGTTGGAAGTAAGAATCACACATTCACACACACACAGAGACATATATCATATACCACTTTGTTCCTATTTAAACGTCACTTGTAGGGAAAAATTTTCTTTCTAGATATAAGTCACTTATAGGGTAATTGATGAGTTTTTTTTCCAAATTTACTCCTATTGACTTAATAAATGCAGAGAAAGATATGAAGTAAATATGTGAGAGAAAATATAAAACATCTTTAATAAGGGCAAAAGTAAAAAAAAAAAAATTAAGTTAATGCATTTCTTGGTCTTCGGGCTTAGGGTGCAAATGAATTATAAATAGGAACAGAGTAGTATAGTGATATCATTTGAGTTTGAAATTAATTAAAGAGATTGTTTGGATGATGATGATCAGGTTTTGAATCCTACCGAATTTTTCGAAGGCATCGTAGTGGAACATGAATATGTGGAATGCACAGGATCAGCAATTCAGGCTTTAGTTTTATTCTCAAAGCTATATCCAGGGCACAGAAAGAAAGAGATTAAAAGCTTCATTGAGAAAGCTGTGAGGTTCCTTGAAGATACACAAACAGAAGATGGCGGATGGTATGGTAACTGGGGGGTTTGCTTCATTTATGGCACTTGGTTTGCATTAGGTGGCCTTGTTGCTTCTGGTAAGACTTATAATAATTGTCTTGCCATTCGCAAAGCTATCAATTTTCTCCTCACTTCACAACGAGACGATGGTGGCTGGGGAGAGAGCTGTCTCTCGAGTCCAAAAAAGGTAATTTTTTTTATAATAAATATATATTCGGAGCAGTTCTATATAGGCTGCATTGTCCATGGTTGGTTCACCAAGTGTAGAAAGGCTTTTTTAATATAATGGTTAAAAGATTTTTACTCCGATTTTGTAGCTAGTGTAGATATAGTGTAGAAAGTAAAATACTTTTGGAAAAAAAAATTCAGTTTTACCTTTCTACAATGGTGGTATACACAACCGGTGTGGTAAGTTTTTTTTTTTATAATAATTTTTACATTTTTTTAAATTTAAGATAATTTAAATTATCTATATTGTTTTTTTTTTTTAGCCGGTGTAGAAAGTGTTTTCTAAACCGATTCCATGCAACCAGTGAGCATAGTGTAGAAAGTCAGCAGTAGTCTTTGCATTATATCTGTAACAACCTATGTACAAGCCGGGAAGGGGTCTCTCTACTTTCTCCTCCCTTCATTTTCATTCCTTTCCCATCTCAATCATTAATTGCAATTTAAGTGGTCTATATTTCATATTATATAAAATAATTTTATAAATAATTTTTTGCTATTGTTTTAAATTATCCTAGCTAAAATTTAGTGGTTTAATTTATTTATTTCTTTTCTGAAAAAATTATCATTTTATTTATAATTTTATGGAATATATGAAATTTGGACTGCTTAAATTGTAATTTTATGGTTAAGATGGGAAGTAGAGGGAAATGAGGGGGAAGAGAAATGGAGAGATGCCTCTCCCGTAAAGGCTTCACTGTAGAAATGTTTTTTTGTGTACGTATACTATAAAATTTAAAGGTCAGTTTTCGTCAGTTTTAATGTATACTAATTAATGAGCTGATTTGTTGTTTCAGGTTTTACGTAATTACAATGAGAAACATGTTGATTAGTTTAGTATAATTTTATATATAAGTAGGTTCCCACACTTAATTTCCTCATCATTTTTATGAATATTGTGCAGAAATATATTCCCCTTGGAGGTAATAGGTCAAATGTGGTACATACGGCCTGGGCTATGATGGGTTTAATGCATGCAGGACAGGTTATACTATAATAATTTACCTTAAAATCTTTAATGAGAATTGCAATTCGTGATTATTATTTATAATTATATTTACAAGAAAAATTAAAAGCTGAAATCAGATTTTGTTTGGAAGGCTGAGAGAGATCCCACACCTCTTCATCGGGGAGCCAGGGTCCTAATCAATGCTCAATTGGAGAATGGGGATTGGCCCCAACAAGTGAGTATCTTTTAATTAATTACTCATTTAGAATACTGTATTTTTGTAAAATTTTATAAAGTCTTCTACTCTTCGTTTTAATCTCTTTATTTTATAAGGCTAAAGTATACATTTGGTCCTTTAACTTTATGCAAGGTTTCACTTTGATCCCTTAATTTTAAAAAGTATACTTTTAGTCCTTTAACCCTAAAATTGTTAGTCTTAAATGATAATTTTTTGTAATAATTATAGTTGTTCTGAATATTAAACTTAATATGTCAGCATTTAGTAATGTTTTATCAGCATTCAAGAGCTTAATATTATCATGTTTTGTTCATAGTTTAAAGGTTAAAGAACTAAAAGTTTACCTTTTAAAGTTAAAAGATCAAAATAAAACTTTGTGTAAAATTAAATGACTAAAAGTATACTTTAACCATTTTATAAATTATCTTTTCAGTTCTTTGCTCTAACCCGTTTATACTTTATAGCATCTTAAATGGTGAATTTTCAGGCAAATCATTATTATTTAAAAAAATTAAATCTCAAATGTCAACATTTCTTATTATTATTATATCGATGTTTAAAATTGTAATATAATTATTTTTTTGTTAATGAAAATAGCATTATTAAAGTTAAAAGGTTAATATTTTGGTTCATGAAATTAGAAACGCGTGGTTTTGGTTTCAAAAACAAAATATTTTTCATTAAAAAAAAACAATACATTCTATGAGGACAAAAAATTCTTAAGTGGATCAAAATAATGTCAAATTTTAGTAATCGAAACCACTAATTTCAAATTTCAAGAATTAAATCCGAAATGAGATCAAAGTTTATAGATTAAATATGATATTAATCCAAGTTAAAGGATTGAAAAGAAAATTTATAAAATTAAGATATAAAAATAAAATCTTGTATAAAATTAAAGGACTAAAAATATCTTTATCTTTATTTAAATTAAATTAGCTAATAAATGGTGGAATTAATTGAATGATTATGATTTACTTCATTTTCAGGAAATCACTGGGGTATTTATGAAGAATTGCATGCTTCATTATCCAATGTATAGAAATATTTATCCACTTTGGGCTCTTGCCGAATATCGCAGGCGGGTTACGTTGGTTTCCAAATGAAGTTTACTATATGTCATTTTTAAATATCTGATGTGAAGTGAATGTGGATCGATCAATTCCCCTCAAAATTGTAGACTCCTAAGTTTTTTCAGATTGCTTAGCTTTAAAAAAAAGCATTATATATATTTTAATGTCTTCGTGAAAACATCCACACACATATATACGTGTGGATAAATATTCCACGCACGAATGGATCACGGAGAAATGTGTTTTTTCACTAGCCTTTAGAAATTTGTTAGACGATAATCTTCATAAATTTTAAATAACACAACTATAAATGTTATATTTGGAAAAAAGACAACAACATATTCTTAAAATTGTTAAAGGACATATTAGCATGAGTGAATTTCAAAATCCCATATTAGACTCTTATACTATTTTAAAATTTTTAAATCTTGCGAAATGATGCAAACGCCCTTTACTATTTATTTTTTTCCTCTTTTTTTTTTTTAAAGATTGCCACATCAGCACCTGATCGAGAGCTTTGATTTATTGCTAAGCTAACTAATGACTATGAATGTAATGAAACTAAGGAAATTCATAATGGATTTGTTTGAAAACTATGAAATTTTAAAGTGCAATGAAAATAAATATTTTTGGTATTTTTAAACAATTGCTCTTGGGAATTGAAATTCAATAATGACATTCCTTAATCAGTTAAAATATAATGGGAGTTTAGCAAAACATTATTAGGCTTTCTTAAATACCAAACCTCAATTACCATTTGAGTCCATTGCTTAAATTAATAGTATTGTTATTTTGATTATTATTAAAAGGATGCAATATTGGAGATATATTGTTTGGAATCATAGTGACATGTTTGGAATTTTGTATACCTGCCATAATTGTGATTGCTTGCCTTTGGTGCACACCGATGGTTGGGGAGTTGTGATGGGACGTTCTGTGTATGTAAATACGAGGTGGTATGCCACTGCTTGGTACACAGTAAGTAGCGATTCTCAGGACCCTATCTCCAATGTTTGTCCTATGGTTGGATATTACAGTGGTTTCGATGGACGTGACACCTCTTTAGTTTTATCAAAAGGAGGGGAGCCATAATCTAATCATGATGAGCTAGGGACCTTGGCCAGGTGACGCTTCATGATTTGGAATCTTGTGTGATCCAATCGAATGGATAAATCATTTGTTAGCTATGACTCTAGTTAGAGGTAATAATGTTGGTCTGGGATAATAAGGATGGTCTTTGCATTAATCATTTGCTTGGCATGCTATATATGATATTTATGATTGATATGAGATGAAGATTTTGTTAAAGTATTTTGTGAAAAGGGTTTAGATATATTTTGTGAAATTATTTACAAGAAAAATAAAAAGCTGAAATCAAATTTTGTTTGGAAGGCTGAGAGAGATCCCACACCTCTTCATCGGGAAGCCAGAGTCCTAATCAATGTTCAGTTCAAGAATGGAGATTGGCCCCAACAAGTGAGTATCTTTTAATTAATTACTCATTTAGAATACAGTATTTTTTTTAATAAAAATTTTATGAAGCCTTTGGCTCCTCGTTTAGTCTCTTTATTTTATAAATTATCTTTTCAGTTCTACTCTAATCCGTTTATACTTTATAACACCTTAAATGATGATTTTTAGGAAAATCATTATTATTTTAAAAAACTAAATGTAAAATGTCAACATTTCATAATATTATTATATCGACATTTAAAATTGTAATATAATTATTTTTTTTGTCAATGAAAATAGCATTATTAAAGTTAAAAGGCTAATATTTTGGTTCATGAAATTAGAAACGTGTGGTTTTGGTTTCAAAAACAATAAATTTTTTATTAAAAAAAAAAGAACCAATACATTCTGAGGACAAAAAGTTCTTAAGTGAATTTAGTAGTCAAAATCACTGGTTTCAAATTTCAGATATCAAAATCAAAATGAGATCAAATTTTACAAACTAAACATGATATTAATCCAAGTTAAAGGATTGAAAAGAAAATTTATAAAATTAAGATATCAAAATAAAATCTTGTGTAAAATTAAAGGATTTAAAATACATTTTTATCTTTTATTTAAATTAAATTAGTTAATAAATGGTGGAATTGATTGAATGCTTGTGATTGACTTTATTTTCAGGAAAAATCACCGGGATGTTGAAGCAGAATTGCATGCTTCATTATCCAATGTATATAAATATTTATCCACTTTGGGCACTTGCCGAATATCGCAGGCGGGTTACATTGGTTTCCAAATAAAGTTCAATGAATAAACTATATGTCATTTTTAAATATCTGATGTAAGGTGCATGTGGATCAATCAATTCCCCTCAAAATTCTACGACTCAAGTCTTTTTAGATTGCTTAGCTCCCCCCCCCCCCCAAAATCTTGAGAGCATTATATATATTTTAATGTGTTTGTGAAGCACACATATGCTTGTGGATAGATATTCCACGAATGGATCACGGAAAAATGTGTCTTTTTAAACCAGCCTTTAGAAATTTGTTAGACGATAATCTTCATAAATTTTAAATAACACAACTATAAATTTTATATTTTGGGAAAAAGATGACAAAATACCCTAAAAATTGTTAAATGACAAATTAGTATGAGTCAATTTCAAAATCCCAAATTAGCCTTTTGTGATATTTTGAAATTTTTAAATCTTGTGAAATGAAGTAAACGCCCTTTACCATTTATTTTTTCCCCCTTTTTTTTTAAGATTGCCACATCAGCAGCCTTATGTCGTGGGCTTCGGTGTTTCCAATCAACGATTAATTTCAAACAGTGTAGTATGACACAACCTCAAGACGTGTCAACTATGAATGCAATGAAACTAGGGAAATTCATGATGGATTTGTTTGAAAATTATGAAATTATAAAGTGTAATGAAAATAGATATTTTTGGTATTTTCAAATAATAGTGAATGAAATGGAATAGGTTTTGGCTCAATGGATGGAGTTACTCTTGGGAATTGAAATTCAATTACTTTCCTTGCTCAGTTAAAAGATAATGGGAGTTTGGTAAAATATCATTAGGCTTTTTAAATACCAAACCTTAATTACCAATTGAGTCCAATGCTTAAATTAATAAACCTAAAACATTGTTAAGCTCTCCTAATGTGCAATTTAAAAAAGACTGATGCAATTGGTTCCGAAATAGTGATATTAATATCAACCCACAAATAAAACAATGCTAAATAAAAAGATACCAGTGAAACCGAGGGAAACATATATGTAACCATATATATTGAAACACAAAGTCCTATGTTAATGAATGCAATGAGAGGATTTATGGTTGAGAAATGAGTGTGGAGTAACGAATGTTGATCATCGTCTAACATTCCAAGTTTTTATTCCTAATATTGAATTACTATTAACATGTGATTTATTAGATAATTTGAGGTTTAAAGTAGATTAAACATATTATTTGAGATCTAAAAGTATAAAATTAGGAAAATAATTGAATAAGATTTAATATTAAAAGATATATGCATTTATTAATATTAAGTTGTATTTAATGAGAATATTTTATAGTAATTGGGAATTGCCATGTAATTATAGAGTATAGATGAATTACCCAAAAAGGGTTAAATTTGAATGGCATAATCTGAAATTATATATTTACAAAAAGAAAGGGAGGAAAAATTTAATAAGGTATGGTAAATTAAAAAAAATATTTTAAATATTTTCCCACATAATATATTACAGTTATTTATTATCAAAAAGTTGAGTAAAATATACAACCAGAGTTTAATTATTTAGACTTCCGTAGTCGTCTTGGCAAATTTAGAGAATTTCAAGTACCATGATATGAATTTTAAGAATAATTAGGATTTTATATATATTAAACAAAAGAAAAAAAAAACAGAAAAGAAAAGAAGGGGAAAAAAGAGAGTTAAAATATATACACTGGGGCCCATATCACTATTTTACAATACCCCCTTTCTTCTTTCACTCCGTCTGCTTCTCCGCCTTTTCTTCCAGCGCGTGTACTCCATTAATGGAGATTTCAGATACTTATGAGCTCCATTTCATTCTCATAAAATTTCCCAATGTCATACTTATTTCATAAATATTTGCTCTATCCTATGTGAGCTTTCTATTGGTATAAATTTTGTTGGAAGCAAAACAAATTTGAAGATTAGGGCTTGGAGCAAGTGTGTTCAACAAATGGAAATCATAGAGTTGTAAAGATAAGTAAATACATGCATTTCATCGGTTTAGAATTTTCCTGTCACATTATTTGAGAATTTTGGCAAATTGGAAGCATTCAACTATTGGTAATAATAAGCTTGGAGTATAGGTAACCCTGGTTAATATAATATTGATATATTTGGAACTCGCAATTATTAAAAATGATTTGGAAACGATGCTATGCTATATGAATTATATGATGAACGCAATTGAATATGGTTCCTTGGGTTAAAATAGTATTGTTATCTTGATGATTATTGAAAGGTCGCAATAGTGGATATATATTGTTTGGAATCATACTGATATGTTTGGAACTTTATATACATGCCATAATTGTGACTGCTTGCCTTTTACGCACACCGATGGTTGTGGAGTTTTGATGGGAGCTGGTTTTATGTATGTAAATACCATGTGGTATGCTACTGTTCTGTACATAGTGAGTGGTGATTCTTAGGGCCCCATCTCCAGTGTTTTGCTTTTGGCCAGGTATTATAGCGAGTTTGATGGACGCGACACCTCCTTAGTTTCATCAAAGGAGGGGAGCCATATTTCAGTCATGATGAGCTAGGGATCTTAGCCAGGTCACACTTCATGATTTAGAATCTCGTGTAAGGCTAGTTTGGGGTAATGAAGTTGGTCTGTGCATTAATCATTTCCTTGGCATGCTATTTGTGAGATTCATGATTGATATGAGATAAAGATTTTGTGAAAGTATTTTGTAAAAAGGTTTTTGTAAAAGTGACCGGAGAAATAAATTACGATTTTTAATCTTTTTGAAAGCTTATTTGAAAAAGATTTTTTTTTTTTGGTAACCGGACTGAGAACTAGTTTGTGAAGGGTTTTCAGTACAGACCTATATAGACTAATTATTACTAGTTGAACTTGATTTTAGAATAGTGTGTTCTTGATCGTGGTTTGCTTGTATATATCTGAATAATCAATAACCATTGGTTACTGAGATCCTTAGTTCTCATGGTTGCTATATCTCGTTTTTTCAGGTGAGATCTGAGTAGGATTGTAGGGAAGTTGTAAGAGGGTTAGCCTAATTATATGCGCTCATTAAGGTTTCTCTTACCTGTA